CGTGCCAGAATAGCCTGGTATTTCCCTTATGGGAGTGAGGAAGGAGACAGGCTGGGAGCTCCGAAGTTAAACCGAGAGGTGAACCAACCCAATACGTTTGCAATTTCTCTCAATCTCCCCCCTCCCGCCCCCGCCCCAGCCCTCCCCCCCAATGCCCTTTTACAACCAGAAACAAAGTTATTTGACCAAGAAAGCAGTTCAAGGCTCCAGCTCAGGAACATGTAACAATTCAACTAGGTTTCTGTTCTCTGCTGGCGAGTGGGGTAGGGAGGAGGTAGTTTCACGTCAGACTCATAACAAAGCATAGATAAGCCAGAAATGTGTACACTTTTCAGATTAACCAGCCTGGACCAGAGGTGGGGTCGTTGTAGAGTGTCCAGCACACGCTTTAGCCAGGGTCCTGCCTTTCACAGAGCAGAATTCCAGGGACCAGATTACTTCCTTCTGCAGCAAAGGGAACAAAATGTAAAGCCCCAAGGTGCTTCCAGAAGTTTTACATGAAAACGAGGAAAAGAAAGTGCCGATGTATGATGCAGACCATTTCAGTGGTTGATGTTGGTTTGCCTGGTAGTTTAGATGAATCTTCCACAGCTCCCATTTCCCCCCAAGAAAGCCAGGCATCTGTTTTAACAAAATCACTTTGGATGAATATCCATCTGGTTTAACCTCTTCTTTGTCACTAGCATGGCTTACTGTCGTTTTCAAGAATATCCAAACTATTGCCAAATGAGAGTCAGGCCCTTCCGCTTGCATTTGCAGGATCTCAGGGTGGCGAGTTGGCTGCTTGGCAAAATTAGGCAAAATCTTCATCCGAGTTTGCAGCTATAGCATAAATGCAACCCAGGCATCTACATGTTTCCTTCTTCCTCCCAAAACAGACACATCCCTGAGGTTAAAGAATGAACAGATATTTCTGAACCTGCAAGGAAAAAAAAATGCACAATAATTTCTTTCTTCATATTCAAAAGTTCCAGTTTCCCCTGCTGTGGTCTGGCCAGCAGGAGCAGGTATGAGCCAAAAAAGAAAGAAAAGAAAAAAATCTTAAAAAAAAAAACAAAAAACAAAACACACACACACAAAAAAAAACCAGGAATCAGACCTATAAAAAGATAGTTTGCTTGACAAGATGAAATCTCAGCCATGGTTCCCCACCCCCACCCTCATCTCCCTTGTAATTTTCCCAGGAATTTTGAAGAGAATTGGGAATTTCAAGAAGTACATCCGGACATTAAGGAAGTCTATTTGAGAGCGTCTGTAACTCAGGAGGCTGGGATTTGGAAAGTCAGCTCTGGACTACTGTTGCACTCAGCACAGATGTAATCGCCGCTCTTCAACTTAATCAATGTGTGTACAAACCGCGATGTCTAGTTCTTGCCTTTGAAATCTAAGGCTAGCATTTCCATCCAAGAAATCAGAGCTACAGCAAATTACATTTTTGTCCCTTGAATGAGAGAAGGATCATTGAATGGATCTCGTGATATTTCAGGCTTTAAACGTAACCGAGAGGCAGCAGTGAACAATGCCTCGTCCCAGCTAATACCATCCACCGACTTGGCTTTCTTTTGCATCTGGTTCTAGCACACCGAGTTTTTCTCTTTCACTTTCACAGGAGGCAAAGTGTTCAAGCTTTAAGCAGAGATCGAAGTTTCCAGGAAAAGCAAATGCTGGTGTTTGTTGTTTTAAAGTGGGATGACCAGAGCCTTTCTATTGCCAAAGACAGTGTTTTAAAATTCCTCCTGATGCACTTATATACTGCCAGCCCTCTCCTTCCCACCCCACCCCCGCCCATTCCCCTCCTCCAGCTCTAAGATGTAGACCAAAGAGTCAAACAGCCAAGAAACAGTAAACTAAAAAAAAAAAAAAGGGGGGGGGGATGGTGGCTTTAAGAAGACATTACAAAAGGTTTGCTATGGCGTCTTTTTTTGATGGGGGAGGGGGGCAGGTAGTTTTAGTTGTTCCTGGCTCTTGTTTAGATTCTCTCCCCCTCCACCCCCATGCTCCTATTTACCTTGCACATAGGAGCATACTTTATTAAACATTTCAAATTTACCGTCCTGTCCTCTCTACCTTTAAAACACTGGGAATGTGGGTGCTTTTGAAAATTAGTACAATACTGAGTATTATTTTTAAACTAAAGGTATAATCTGTTGGGTCAATTACAAAAAAAAGTAAAGAACAAGGGATTTGGGGGATGTATCTCTATGTATACTTAGAAAGTGTCTCTATGTACAGAGACACACCTTCACATTTATACATTTTAAATACTCGTATTACACATCTTTCTTTTTGTCTAATACATTCTTTTGTTCCTGTAAGTTCCCCATCCTAGGGTGAGTGTGTTAAGGATCCAGGACTGGGGCTTGTGCGCACACGCACACACACGCACACACACACACACACACACACACACACATACACACACACATACGCACACGCACGCACACAGAATGTGACAGACAGCTTTCTTTGGCCATCAGCACACGCTGCATATCCGGGGTCTTCTCCAGGCCCATTGGGGGTCGATCCCGATAAAAAGACCTAGCAGAGGCCCCTGAGCGCTCACACATGAAAGGCAGGGGACCTTAAGATGGATTTGCATGCACACCGGGGATTTCGATCAATAGCTACCAACATTTATGGCTTAGATTATTAATGTGAAAGCTGGCCAAAAGAATAGGGATGAAAAATTAAAGGTATCTGTTATCAATTATGCTTAAAGTTATGCAATAATTTACTTAGTTTGCCTGGATGTGCAGATCCAGATGTATGAAGTACTATTCTTCAAAAGCCAGGGGGTTTCTTTGATAAATTTGTTGACCATGTCAACCGCCTCTGCAATCAAAGATGAACCCAATTCAGATGATGGACCGTATTCAAATTCTTTTTAAGAAAGGATATATCAACTTCTATGCTTCTCACACACATGTACATATGTGGGGGGATATGCTTAAATGAACATTTACACACACACATATACACATCTCTGTAAGTCTAGGGAATAATTGAGAATTTAGGTGTATATATATGTATGTATGTACATACATACATATATATATATGATATGCATTGAGTTTGTTAATGAAATGTGATCATTTACTCAGGGAGGAATGCAAAGTCTACACTATCCTAAAAAGTATTTTAGCTTTAAAAACAAAGCTGCTTGCTAAAGAAAAATTCTCTGTAGCAAATACAGTTTCAAATGTATTCTTAATGTCCACTTATTTCTGCATTTATTGTAAAAAAAACCAGCACTTTCAGTTTTTAAAGTGATGGGCTATGAAGATCTGAACATATTTGTCTTTACTTATCCCATATGACTGTGCTAAATTCACCTTCAGATGCTCTATTTTGATTTATTTTCACTGTATTTTATGTTTAAATACCATAGCAATTCAGTCTGACCTCTTTCCTCTGGAGCGAAGTAATGCACAAGGCATTCACAGTCTTTTAAATGGTTAGCTGGGAAATGCAACAGCAATTTGCAGGAGTAGTTTACTAATGGGGAAAGTTCTTTTGAAAATCTGAAGGAAAACCTAAGAGTACTTTTGCATTTCTAACCTACAACTGTTATATAATTAAAGTATTGAAGGGCATTAAAATAATCCTTTTTCATCCATGCTCTCACCCATACATACATAATTTAAATGAGGATCACACACACCACAACCACCACCACCACCACTACCACCACCACCACCACCAAACTCTTCACCATATATATTTGTTTTAGTGATTGCTGGATACATTTTGTTCAAAGTGAATTCAAACAGAAAAAAGTAAGGAACAGCACAAAGGCCCCAACAGTGTAAGTACCATGGTTAGAAGAATAAAAGAAGTCTCTTATACTGTTAACTAAAATTAACTAATAATAATATGAGGTGTAAAATAATAAAATCTCATATGACTGAATTAGTTGAAGATTTAGGACAACACAATCTCAATAGTCCTTTAGCTAAACTTAACTGATACCACATCTTCTTTCCTCTTTGGGAGGTGAAAATGGGAAGAGAAGAAGAAGAATCAGCTAAAACGAGGGATAAACTATAATTTAGGATATTTTCTTTAAACTCTTTCTTTCCTTTTCTTTCTTTCTTTTTTTTTTAAAAATCTCATTCAAATATATCAGGGCATGTCTCCCAATGGGCCCATCCTTCTGTTCTTAGACATTTAAAAATCCTGTCTTTAACAGAAGTTTGGGACACAGAGTATATGCCATGTTGTCTATTGACCCATAATCAAAATGCAGTGACCTTCTACCCCCTTTTTGCCCCCTGACCCATCTTGAATTCAATGCAGCCTTTATAAATTTGCAAATCCTTGGAGGTAAAGGGTTTTTTGTGAGGCTTTGTTCTGAAAAAGCCCTAAGAGTGTGCTTTCTAAATTAGACAAAGGTAAAGCTGAAAACCTTAGTGGATGAGATTTTATGCAGGTGAGCACTAGGCGACTCTTCAGATACGAATATTGCAAGCTAAACAAAACAGTTATAAGCACAGGAGACAAGGAGGTTACAGATTGCATTAGAGTGTGGTACAAATCACTTCCATGATGTAAGAAATGGTTAGGCCACAATCTTCCTGCTTTTCTCATCTCAAGGGCTGTGGGGGACCCTAGTGACCAAGGAAAGAATGGAGGGGGGTACAGAGAGGAGGGAAGAAAGGTGGGGGAGGAGTGAGACCTGCCTTGAATCTGCAGGCACATCCCTTATCTCTTCTGCTATCAGCCAGTTTAAAGGACACCATAATTATGATGGTGATAAAACAATGCCTGCTTATGTGTGCTGAATAAATAAAGAATGTTTACAGCTCAAGAATCTTTTAATTCCAATTAAATGCTATCAAAGAAAAGCCACTTTTCCTACTACAACTGCCTTTCCCCCAATTATCCTGTTTTGTTGCAATATTTTCCTATGAGACACAAGGGCCTTTCACAATTGATCCTGAGCATAGAGGACAAACTCACAGAAAGTAGAGTTCAATCTCCTATTAAATAATACACAAATCTCAAGAATGAACATTTATTGGGGTTACCCAAGTTTTTGTTTATTTTACACTAAGGCCAAATGTGAAGAAACTGAAGTGATGATTCTAAGTGTTGAGGTCTATCTAAGGGCTGCTGTAGCCACACTAAAATCTTGAGCACCCAGGAGAGCGGGAAAGATAAGGCAGAAACAGCGTGATGGTCTGGAAAGGGAATCCTCTGGTTCTGTTCCCCTGGCTTTAGCCCAAATCCTCCGAGAAGCATTGGAGCCAATCACTGACTTCCATTTTCAGCTACTGGGAACACACAAAAAAGCGGGAGATTAAAAAAAAAAAAAAAAAAGAAAAAGAAAAATCACAAGTTTGATTTTTATGGATATGTATCATTTCATATTCATGACATCAGCAAATCACATCATGATCAGACTGAAACATGGTTTGAACGCTCGTACCCATCAGGATGGTCACTAAACACTACTAAGCATAAAATTTGGTTTTTATTTTGTGATTATAGAGTAAAAATAAAGTCTGTTAACTTAGCAAAGCTTACTTTTCAAAACCTGAGAACAATTTACCCTAGTAAACCTCAAATAAATGCTTCCTCTAAAGTTGTTCCACAACATTTTAATTCAAATCTTTGTCTCCTTCCTTTCTGTGTGGTAGTGTTTTGTTTGTTTTTAAAAAACACGTGGCACAGGGCATATGATGGAAAATGCACGCATTCTGTTAAATGCCTATACAAACGTGCCCTTTACTCCATCTAAGTAATGCTTTGCTGAGCAGAAGCTGAACAACAACAAAAAACTACTTTCCTCGAAGAAATTTTTTTTTTTTAAATTTCAAAGTAAATAATATTGGTGAGGTGGTTAAAAAAATCAATCGCAAAAAAAAAAAAAAAAAAAAAAAAACTTCAGGGTATTTCTAAGTTTTCTGGAGAGTTGCAGGTCCCTTCCCCTTTGAAAGTTTAGAGATCCAATACCCTCAATTCTACTGGCAGAATTAGGTGGACTTAGAGGGTCCTAAACGTGACCGATTCACTAAGGCGGGGGGCTACAGCATGCAGCAACGTGCTCGGCAACTTAATCCTACGCTAAAAGAGGGCAGAGAGCGAAAAAGAATGGAATACAAACTCTCCCGACGTTCCTAGTTACTTTCAAGGTGGATTGTGTATTTTAAGGCCGATGGGAGCGTCTGGTTTTTGGAGGAAAAAGAAGAGAAGGTAAGTGTTTGTCCTTGTATCCACCAGTTGGTAGAGAAACAATGAAAGAACAAAGGGAACCACTTCCTCATCTGAACATTTTCTGATTCTCCTGGGTTTCAAGCTTCAAGCTTGTACAGGGATTCGCCTTACTCTATCTTAAGTAGTAGATTGCTACGGTTGTTGAACTAAGAATGAGAGAAAAGTTGAGAGGCAGTGTAAATAGGCTAAATAATAATGAAGCCTTGCGGGTGGCGAATCTGCAGTCCGCCTGGCGCGGCAACTTGCAGAAGTTGGAAAACGCATGAAGGCACAGCCCAGGAAATAACCTTTGCATACTAGGTCTCGAACTCAGTTTTTAAACAGCCTTTCTCGTTGTTTGAAGGAATCTCTGCGCAGACTGTGTAGTAGGTACTGTTCTATGGGAAGAGAGTGGTGTTCGGTTCGATTTAGGTCTAAAGTTGATTTCTATCGCTATCCTAAAAAAAAAAAAAAAAAAAAGAGTAATTTTAAAAGGAAAGAGGATTCAATTATTGACGCTACTGCTTGCTAATGGAAGAAATGGCAGCGATGGCTGAGGGAGGAGAGGGATGGTATTTAAGTATATTTGCTTTGGGGGGTACTCTGGTTATTGGCAAGTCTGCTTTTGTGGGGTCTGTGTGACTAAGTGACTGGGCGCTCTCTGCATTCTATATAAATGGATCCGCGTGTGGGGGGGAGCCCTCAAAGACGTCGAGCACGTGAAACATGATTTCTTTTTTACTGCCCCCCAAGCAGCGACCAAGCCCCCACCCACCCCACCCCACCCCACCCCACCTCCAAATGCGTATATTACCTGCCCTGTTACAGTGACACATGTTTATGTTTATAGTGCTGGTTTGTAGTAGTGTCAAGAGCCGCGGCGAGGAGCGGGGCGGGGGGGGGGGGGGAGAGGAGGAGGAGGAGGAGAGGCGAGAGGGAGGAGTAAATGCAACCACCCCCACTTGTTGTTAAAGCAAATTTACTGCGTTCTTGCCAGCCCCACGCGGGGGGCTGGGATGCGCGGCGGGGAAGGGGAGAGTCGGGCGGTGTGTCGGCAGCGGAGGGGGGCGGGTGGGGGTGGGCTGAGAGCCGCGGCGCGGCGCGGCCCCTCTCCCTCCAGCAGCCCGGTCAATAAGGGGAGCATGCTGGCGCGGTGGAAAACAAAAAGGTTCCTCCCGCTCGCTGCGTTCACGTGGGGGGGAAGGGGGGGGGGAGAGCAGCTCGGCGCGCCGGGCTCCTGGGCCCTGACCTCTGACCCCGGCTCCTCTCGGCTCTCTCCCGGTGTGGCTCGGCCACTTTTTACCCAGGATGCCACGCGCGGGCCGCGCTCGTGTCGGGGAGCCGGAGCCCTCCCCACGCCTCG